GTACGGGGAGACTGGTGTCAGTGGTGCTGGCGGGGGAGGAGTGGTGTGCACGGAGGCGAGGGCTGAACCTTTGGGGTTCCTGCGTGCGCTGGTTGGGGTGATCTGCGTCCAGGGCTGTGCTAAGACATTAGTGCAGGTGATGAATGGGCGTGCGCTGCATGGGGAGCTCTTTGTGTTTGGGGCGGGGAAGGCTAGACCTCAGACCTGCGCCCTCTGCACCCCCAGTCTTAGTCCAGAGCCCCCCACCCCAGCCACTGGCCCATGCTCTAGGCTAGACCCCCAACATCACAGCAATGGGCGAGCGGCTGGATGGCATGGCTGCAGCCTTCCCAGTCCGGGAGCTCCGGGAGGGTGGGCGGGGCAGGGAGGGACCAGTCACGCCAAGCTGGAAGGAGGATGGGGACAGGGCCACAGCTGGCTGTTTGGGGCACAGCCTGGCATACTTACCGCCCATGGTCGGGGGTTGTGTGTGCGGCTCTCAGTGCTGGGGGTCGTTTTCATCACACCACACTGCTCAGCACACAGCTTAGGCTTCAAGGGGACACAGAACGAAACTCCTGGATTCATGATCCCGGCTGTTCTCTGCAGGCACTTGCAGACTCTCCTCCTCTTAGGTGCCCTAGATCGAGCGAGCGCCTGTGTCTGTCAGCGCAAGGCAGGTCTCCAGGCCTGGCATCATCCTGGGGTGTCTTTCCTGACCCATCCAACTGGTCGGCAGCCTTCGTAAACTGGAGAGCTCAGACCTGGGCACGGCTCCAGCAGCGAGTGCCTAGGTGCCAGATACAGGGGCGCCTTTCAGAGCCCCAGTTCATGCATCCCAGGGCTGTAGTTAGTGGGGACCCTGCAGGGGGTACGCAGGCCCACACATCGATAGGGTGTGGAGGACTCATGATAACAGCACGCTTCCTTGGCTACTGCGCCTGCCCCACGCACCCCTCTGCCGCGCCCTGAACACGGACTGTGCCGAGCCTGGTGGGACGGATGCCGGGGGCTCCAGAAGGCAGAGGGACTGGGGTCCTAGGCAAGGGAGGGAGCAGCAGGAAAAGACAGTATGGGTCTGATGCAGGCCTTCCAGCTCGGGGGCGCCCCTTGTTCTGAGCTGGCTGGTAGGAATGGCTCCCCTGCACATGACAAAGCCGCCAGGCTTCAGGCGTGCATGGTGCCGGGAGTGCCGTGGCTGGAGGGGCTGCTGCTTTGCATTCCGGGCTTCGGCACCTGGCGGAGAGAGCTGTTAACCCTGCCTGGCTAACGGGCAGCACAGGCCACTGATGCGGAGAGGGGGCAATATCCCTAGTGGAGGAGTGTCTCCAGCGGACATGGGCCTGCAGCCTGCATGCCGTAATCCAGGGGCAAACAAAACCCGCATTGAATCCAGAAGAGGGAAAATGACTCATCGGGGGACTATTGGGTTAGATTAGGAGCTGTGTGCAGGAGCACAAGAAAAGGCTTAAACAAGTCCAAAAGTCATGGGACCTATCAGTATGCAGAGCGCCTCCTCCTTCCCTGACCAGGCAGCCAGCAGCAAAAGCGGCTTCTGGGAAGGGTGAGAACTAGGAGCAGCCACTCCCTGCCTGTCACTGGGCAGGTTCAGGCGGCCGAGCCCCTCCCGTCCTTGTTCCAACCTCCCCTTAAACTCAGTGCATGCGTAGCGGGGCACCTCTGCTCCCTGGCTGGCTGAGGAGCTACGCTCCCTGGGGCAGGGAACGTGGGACAGATTTGCAGTGAAGCCAAGCAGAATAGTCGAATGCACTAGAAAGTTTGGTGCCTAACGCCAACTGAAAGTCAATGAGAGCCAGGCACCTAAGTCACATAGACACCTTTGTAAATCTGGTCCTTTCTCTGCCTCTGCAGCTGGAGCGCTTAGCACTGAGCGCTTACCAAGCAAGCATCCCCCAAGCCTGGGCTGGCTGGCTCCCTGCCCAACAGCTCTCCATTTCCTCCACGTGCCCCGGGGGGCAGGACGCGCAGCCGGCATTTCGGGGGTGCTGGGTTCAGAGCTCTGAGCGTCCTCGGACAAACTGGCTCCCGCACCACCAGAACCCCACTAGCCTGCGACCAGGCAGGAAGCACCCGCACAGCATGGCTCCAGGGGGCCTTTTCAAAGGCACCGAAAAGCAGCCTGAGCCCGTCAGGAGGGTGTCGCGGCTGGAGGATCTGCACTACTCATCTTTGGTCTGCCACAAGCAATGCGACATGAGACAGCTCTTCCCGCTGAACAGATCCAACTGCGTCCCGGCCCACACGCAGGCCCCGTTCAATTCCACATCTCCTGGCAGCTCGGGAAGTCGGTACAAACATCAGCGAGTTTGTGCGGAGACAGGTTTTCAATCTACTACTTTCACGGGTCAGCTCCGGTAAGACCAGGAGCCAATTGGTTTTCAAGTGTGACACAGTCACTTTTACACGCTTACGCCTTGAGTCAAATCGGGCAGCCGGCATTCATGCCAGTGACCATATTACATGAACATTCCCAGCACCTCCAGGCCTGCTTAGCCTTAAGCACGGCGGTGTGGAGGTCTCTCTCCCTGCTTCGGTTGTCTTTCCAAAGAGGGTGTGAGATTAACTCATAACATCAAACTGTCCTGTGTCTACAACTCCACCATACAGCACGACCCCCCACCCCACCCCCGGCGAGTCAGCGAGCCTGATTTCAGTGGCATCGATCAGCAACCTGCTCTACAAGAAACTGCTCGTCAGTGCGTTCTCATTGCATTGAAATGCAGCTGGAACAAGCCTCCCCCAAGCCAGAGAAACGCTGCGTGAGGGCAAAGAAAAGGTGTTCAGGGCTCTTGCTTGAACGAGCATCCTCTGCTCCCGAAGGGCTACGCAGGCTCACGAACCCCAGTGTTCAGCTCCAAAGGCTCCGCCACCCTCCCCCACTTCCCAGATTCTTAAAGAGGCTCCTTTTCCTACCTGGGTGGATCAGGAGGAGGCAGGCTACATGCACAAAGCCTGCAGCGCCGGGGGCTCGGGACAAGGCTTCTCTTTCTCTCTTCATTTTGGGTTTAGCTTTAGGTCCCTCTCGCAGACAATTGACATGATTTGTCCACGCTGGGCACGTCCCTCAGCACCACTCGGAGTTGTTCTGCCGCCGCGCAGCCCTGCCAACTCCTCCTTGAATAGACAGAGCTCTCTGTGTTGTCGAGTTTCTCTTTTCTTTTGCTCAGACCTGGCGTTTTCTGGTCCCGTGAACCCTACCTCTTCAGCCGCGGGGATTAGCGGCCCGGACTCAGACACAGCGAACGACTCCCCAGCTCTTCAGACACCAAGGAACTGCAAAGGTCTCTGCAAACCTCGCGGTCCCAGCGGGCACTGGCTCCTCCGGAGTGCCTTGCGCACTGCTCTGCACGTGCGGTTCTCCCCGAGCTGCGCCCACGGGGCAGCTGCGCAGGGCATTTGCCTTTCCTGGCCCTCGGCCTGCAGCCAGGCACTCCCCATTGTTTGCATGGAGCGGCACTCTTTGGGCTAGCAGCGGGTGCAGCGTGCCAAGCCTCCCTGGCTCTCACATCACACTGCGCTCAGGGCTCACATGCTCCGCTCTCTTGAGGGTCATTAACCAGGCATTCCTTGGAGGACGTGGCATCGCGGAGGGAGGGGGGGGAGGACTGCTGCCCTCTAGAGCAGCCCCGCAACAGGGTCACACACCAACGGATACTTTCCCTTCCCTGACGTGGCTATTCCTCTCTCCCCATCTTGTGCATGAGGGTTCGATCGCAACATCTCTGCTGCTTACTGGCATCCCGGCCGGTTCCTTTCCGAGGGGCCAGTGTGTCCCTGTGCACCCTGGGGATGTTTCTGTCCCCTCCCTGATATCGAGCAGTCCCGTAGCATTTGTTTTGGGGAGCGCTGGGCCTAGCCCTTCTGAGCAGTGTGTATTTCTGCAATATCAGCCCTGTTCATGCCAGGCCTCCAGTCCAAGGGCTTCTGTCTCCAGCTCTCTTCCTATGACCGGTGGCACACAGCAATAGTTCCTGGGAGCTGTCGTGTCATTAGAAACATTGTGATGTGCCCTGCGAGTGCCTTTCTTAGGGCTGCAGTCAGCCCCTGGCTCGTACTGTCATGACACAGGACTAGGGATCAAACTAGAGGCAAGGCAATGGAAGGAATTTCTTTTCCTGGACTAGCCCTCTTGGGGAAAAGGACAAGCTGCACAGAGCTCTTCTTTGGGGCCTGGAGTTAGTGCTATTCAGGATGTCACCTTACCTGCCTTGTCACTAACATCCTGGGACCAACATGTCACAGCACTGCAAACAAATACACAGGTTCCCGGAGCCCCTGGCCAGAGGAGACCCCTGTGATCAAACAGCCAGACCTCCTGCAGCACACAGGCCACAGAACTTCCTCAAAATACTTTTGAGAGACAGTTTTTTAGAAAACCATCCTACTGTGATTTAAAAACCATCAGTGACGGCAAAGCTGCTCTGGCTCAGGGCTGGAATGGTAAGTCCAAATGCCAAATAAAGTGACTGAAAACAGCATCCCCCTGCCATACAAGGTAGACAATTTACATCCCAGAACTGAGGAGCTAGTGAGGCCTTGGGGAATGTGCCACAAAGAACAGATTTAAAGAAAAGTAAGGATACTCGGAGCTTTGGCACAGAACGCTGCACAGCTGAGAGTGGATGACAGATTCAGGGATAGTGGAAGTGTTAAAGTGGATGCTAATTTAAAAAAAAAAGAAAAGAAAAGAGGGAAAACACCTGGTAAGTCAAAGAAGAAAAACGAGCAACTCCTTAGGCAAACCAGCCTGTCAGAAAAAGATGAGCTGACGTGTAGCAGAGGTATTGAGAGCTTAGAAGGCAGAGTCTCAGAAAGGAATACCAGCCTGTCAGAAAAAGATGAGCTGACGTGTAGCAGAGGTATTGAGATCTTAGAGTCTCAGAAAGGAATCAAGAGCTGAAAAGTGGCAATAAAACAGAGTGCTGCTAACAGAGCCCATGCCAAAAAGTTATTTCATCTGTGAACAGAGTAGTTCAAGTTTAAACAGAAAAAGAAACCACCAGTTAGAACGTGAGCTGCTTTGGGTAGGGGAAGCCCAGTGCAAAATTATGGCAAAGCCTGTGGCATGAAAGGGGAGATCGAGTACTTAGGCAGTATAGCTCTGTGAGGAGGGTATGAGGTGGAGACAGGAAGAGGCAGAATGAGGCAGGGGCCTTGGAGGAAGGGCGGACCAGGAGGCAGGAAGAGGCAGAATGAGGAGCGGGAGCTTTTGGGGATGGGACAGAGGAAGGTCACTCCTCTTGACGAGAGGAAGTGGTGCCTCATTATGGGAAATGTAAAGGGTTGAAAAAAACAGGGAGAGAATCTACAGCTACAGGATCTTCCAGCCACAAATCCGGGCTCCATGAAACCCCCTCATGCCCCTCACCGATCATGATTAGCGTCTTTCCCTGCTTTCCCACACAGGCGTTTTGTTCAAGTCACATCACTAGCCCCGCGTGTACTGGCTGGGTCTCAGGGTCAGCAGGGGAGTGGCACTAGCTGGACGACAACCCCCTGACTGTCATGCAAGTCCCCTCTTCTCCCCTTCCAGCCGCCTGGCTCTGCTGCTTTCCCCTCCCACTCCAGGGCCAGGGGAGCATGGACACCAACCCAATTGCTACCACAGGTCTCTGGTCCCCTCTAGTGGCTCAGCCACGGAAGGACGGTTCTGAGTCCGTCCGTCCGTCCCCCGGGTCAGCACAGTGCCAGGCCTGGGAGCAGACAGCGGCTTTGCTCTGGGGCCTTGTGAACATCACACTCAGGAGGAAGGTGCTGGCAGAACAGCACCATGGCCCTGTGGGCAGGGCCACCCAATTGCTACCACAGGTCTCTGGTCCCCTCTAGTGGCTCAGCCACGGAAGGACGGTTCTGAGTCCGTCCGTCCGTCCCCCGGGTCAGCACAGTGCCAGGCCTGGGAGCAGACAGCGGCTTTGCTCTGGGGCCTTGTGAACATCACACTCAGGAGGAAGGTGCTGGCAGAACAGCACCATGGCCCTGTGGGCAGGGCCACCACTCTATTTCGAGGTAAGGGGGCAGTGTAGACACACCCTTAGGCTCTGGGACTGGGAGACGTCCAGGTTGGATATTAGGAAAAACTATTTCACTAGGA